TATATATATATATATATATTATATATGAATGTAAAGATTTGAGTTGTAACGCATTTATAATGAAAGGGAAATGAAAAAACAAATCATTTTGTTGTTGTTGTTATTGACATTGCAATCCACAATCAAACTATTAATTAATTATCGTCTATGCATTATAACTTATGTTTTTTTTTTTGTGGATTCACTTAAAAAAAAACTGTTTGCAGTGACGCACGTTACGACGAAAATAAAAATTGCGACGGGTAACGACGAATTAAAAACAGAAATCACGCAAAAAAAAAACCTCCGTCGCAAGTTGTCGCGAAGTCCGTCGGAAATTGCGATAACTTGCGACAGGATATTGCGTTGCAGGTTATATGGCTACGGAATTTGACGAAATATGTGCAACGGAAATGTTGTCATCAAAGTGTAAAACAGAAAGACGGAAAGTTTCATCATTTTGTATTTACGAGCAATGCGATGCACCGTTTCTATCGTAACTGCGATGGAATCGATGTATCACATGTTAAGTAAACATCGCATCGATGTATCACATGTTAAGTAAACATGTGCAATGCACATTGACCAAATTCTGTCACGGTCCGTCGCAATTCTGTCACTATTTGGTCGGAGAGTTAAATTCTAGGTAAAAAGGAGGATATTTCAGTGCATCTATTACAACAAAACATTCGGTTTTCTCTCGAGCTATTGACGGGACAAGTTTCCAAAAAGTGAGAAATCAATGTTTTGTTTGTGTCTCCTGTCATGTAACATGACAAATTTCATCACGACCAATAATGACACACATTAGACCAGCTTCGATTTGATGTGACAAGTTAATGTTGTGATTTCTATTTTTAGAAAAATGATCGCAACATACCAAAAAAAAAAAAAGTTGCTGTGTTACACTTTTGATATCTATATAAATTATGATTTTATATCAGAAACAAAAAAAAAATACAAGATTCAAATAAAACACCCAACTAAAATGCACTTAAATTAGTGTTTAGAGTACAATTGATAATATTGGGGAGCTAAATTTAAAAATAAATATATTAGAGGATATAATTTATATATGAAAAAGGGGCCCTACACATTTTTTAAATGGGTGAATCCAAAGGCCACGCCTCTTGGAGGAAACCATAGGTTAAAACTTTGTCACGACTTCGGCTGCACTTTCTTCATATTTTATATCATTTTAACCCCTTAAATGAAAGACCCATATTTATTTATTTATTTATCTTCTTTTTATTTTGTTAAAAGGACCAATATTGACATTTTAAATGATCACTTTTAGTAAATAAACAACATATAATTTACGCCAATTGGACTGCCAAACAAGTATTTTAAACACATTGATATGATTGAAAAGGGGGAGAAAAAGACAAGCACACTTGCAATCATGAAGGGACACAATCTACATGTAAAGCCCTTTCCAAGATATGGTCTTGATTTCATGGTGAGTTAAGATTTTGTTCTTTAATCGGTTGGTTATTTCTATTTTTGAAATGTACAATCTCATAAATTATGAATATATATATATAATATGAACAGTAACCTTCCTCAAAGCTCCGACCAATTGGAGTGCAGAATCTGCAACAACAGATATGAATCCGGCACGTGTAAACTAATTCTCGACAAATTAATTAATATTAAATCCAACATCCGAACACGAAAACAGGAATTTTGCGAAAGAATATGGTTTTAGATTTTTTTCACTATTTTTTAAAAATATATAAAAAAAATCACATATATCTTTATTAAATCACATTCCTATTAATACTCTATTAAAATTAAATATTTTTAATTGAAGATAAAATTGTAAATTTACTTAAAAAAATCATCTAAAAAATTTTAAACAACATTTATGTAACAACAAAATATTCTGCATAAAAATATTTATTATAAAACAGAGTATGTATACATATATATATATATTGGTTTCGTTGTACTTGTAACTCATCTCGGCCCATAAACGGCCCATAATGTTTTCTATATTTGGGCTGGGCCTCACTGGACTGCTGTGCTCGTGCTTGGAGGTTCTTGCCGTCATGTGACTCATGTCATGATTGTCATCCATGGCGTCCTAAAATCAGTGCAGAAAGAGAGAGAGATTGAGAGAAGAGACGGGAAAAGAGATGAGCATTCAAGTTGTGAACCTTTTGCCGCTTCCGAAGTTTGCGATTCGATCTCGCGCCAAAACTTCCGCGGGTTTTGGACGTGTCGTCGCTCGCGCGGATAACGATCCTCCTCGATCAGTGGGCGGTGATCAGCAGCAACTCAATCTCTCCGTTCTTCGTTTCACTTTTGGTAATTCGTTCTTCTTCGGTCTACTTACCGAGAGTTGAATTTCACGGCCTCAAGCTGAGTTTGATTCGATCAAATTCCGTTATCCCCTAATCGTTAGGAATTCCTGGTCTGGACGAATCTTACCTGCCGAGATTTATCGGGTACGGGTTCGGGTCGCTTCTTCTGTTGAACCACTTCTCGGGTTCGGGTCCAACCAGCGATGCTCAGCTGGTAAATCGTAGCCATGCTTCCCAAATTCTATTGTTTGTATGGTGATTTGGGTTCATATGATGACTAAGTTTTTTTTTTTTGTAGCCATGCTTCCCAAATTCTATTGTTTGTATGGTGATTTGGGTTCATATGATGACTAACATTTTTTTTTTGATAACGGTAAATCTGTATTAAATCAAAACGGTTCGTATACAACCCGACTTGAAGCCGAAACTAACCATACATGGAATGGATTCCAATAACGTAGAACTTACAAAATATGATCAGTGCCTAAGATGCGATTGAATCACAGACGTGAGTGAAAGCCATTCATCCATATATGATGACTAAGTTGCTTGGTAACAGAGATCAGAAGCTCTGGGCCTGTCACTTGCTGCGTTTTCCGTAGCTTTGCCCTACATTGGAAAGTTCCTGAAGGTAATCATGTTACATTAACAGTACCTTTTTGCATTGTTTTTGTTCTATGGAGAGCAAAACAAGAATTGGGGTTTTCCAGTTTGGTCTTTTATAGGAAGGTGGAAAGATTTATGAGATTGAGATTGTTAGAGATTCTTGTTGTTTGCATGAGGTTGTTAATGTTTTTGCCTCTGTCGCTGTCGGGTTCTTGTAGGGTGCTGGAATGACAGAACAGAGAACTCTCCCTGAAGAGGGGAACCAGATTTTTGCCATATCGTCAAATATCTCGGACTCTTTGAAGGAAGATCTTGCATGGGCAACCTATGTTTTGTTGAGGAATACAAGTACGATCGCTGTGGTATGATTTCGATCTTAGTTGTATGCTTCTGTTTCTTGCTTTGTTCTTCCATTGGACAAAAGTGATAATCGTTCCTATTCTTCAGATGATATCGGTTCGAGGTGAGCTTTGTGTCCGTGGTTATTGGAATAGTCCAGTTCAGATGTCAAAGGCTCAACTACTCGATTGGTTTAAGAGAAAGGTAGATGAAATCGGCCTGTCAGATGTGAAGGATACCCTTTATTTCCCTCAAAATAATTCAGGTACATCATTGATTCTCCACTGCACAATCCTGAACTCATTCGACCATGTTTATTTCTTATGTACTTGGTGTAGAGAATGCTTGAAATTTAGTCATTGTTTTGGTGCTATAAAAGCTACTGAAAGTGTCGTCTTTGATTTTAGGTTCTGCTTCCTGGGAAATTCTTTCAGAGGGTACTCGTTCTCTTCTGGTGCAGCCATTCGTACAGAGTACAGTGGGGTCACAGAAGATGGACGGGTTTTTGCTGATCGCTTCTACTGCAGAATATGCATATAGTGACAAAGATAGAGCTTGGATTCAAGCTATTGCTAACAAATTCAGAGGTGAGATTGTTCCCATGGATCTGAAATGAAATAAGAATCTGTTGCTTTTGTTTTTGTTTCCTGAACAGCTATTGTTTTTACCGGAGTGCCTCTCGGTAGTCGGTATTCTCGTCTTTCTGCTGTTGCAAATAAAACTTGAGAAGATTTTGCACATTTAGGCCGTGAATCGTTAAAACTTGTATGGTACCGCCAAAGCCAACTTTTTAGTTCATTTGTCAAGTAAACAAATTTGTTCCACTATCAAATTTTTTTCTCTCTGACTTTGGATTTCACTGTTGATGCTTGCAGATTGTGTGGCAACGTATAAACTTAAAGTTCATGTGAAAGTTGACATAAAATCTTTGTTATTCGTTATCAAATATCATAAAATGACATTGCATATTATAACCCAGGCTGCAAATTCATCTGCAATATGGCTAATATTTGATGTCAAATCTTATAGAGTAATTCTTTGAATTATCATATCTCGATGAAATGTCAAAAGATCGCCTGACATTTTGTTTACTCTCTCTTTTTCCAATATATGGCTTGCAGGACCACATGAGCTGCTTGCTGTAACATAGAATTTGACCCATGTCTTGAAGATTGGCAAAACGCTTTAGTCCTACAGAAATTTCTCGAGGCCGTACACCAGATTCTGCAAAGCCAAGAGGAACAAAAAGGGAAAGTTCTCAGATCAAGGTAAGTGAGAGATCCATAGATTAAGAATTCATCGCCCCTTTCCTTCTTACCTTAAGACGAACAACCTTTCTGATAGCAAGGAGTAGGCCTGGCATGAGTGACCTTACATCCGTTATGTCATGTTTGACAGTGTAAACCTGCATCCAGTAGCTTGCACCATGAGGATTTGAACTAGAATTTTCGAGCTCAGTTCTTCTGGGATAATAATTTGTTCGATATCAGTTCTTCCAAGACTATAAATGGCAAAATGAATTACATCTCCTGGGCTCGAGAAGTAAACTGTGGTACTAGATGGTAGTCCCGGTAGAACCATGCTATGGACACGAACCCCATCTTCTCCGACAACTTGACCCCTTGCCTGGACAAATAAGGGAAACAGAAAAACAGGTCTGTTACCTAAACGTTGGGTTTATACATGTACAAGATCTTGATTCTTGGCTACTAGGTCTTTGGTAGCCAGCCTTTCTTGCGTGTTTCTCTGCTGCCTTGTTCATTTTTTTTACCTGCACATCTGTTGAGATATCTTCCCTGTTGTAGATCTGACCAAGGTTTGAAATGTTGTTGGCAATCTGGATAGCGTCTGGAGAGGGAAGATCCTGCATAGCCGGAGCCTTTTCCATCAAATTCTTATGCTTTGAAGTCAAAGGTGCATATGCTTATCTTATATGCTGTAGATGGTTCCTGCAAATGATTTGAGCCTTTTTCCGAATTCTTGATTAGTCTTGATCAACATTCCAAACTATTTGTGAACCCGTAAATCTAGGATATCATATCCATGCATTCTCATACCGATGCATTTTGCCGTGACTCCACGATCTCTACATTGCTGTAGTGGAAGGAGGCCATTATTACAGCCTGCTGCAGAAGTATAGATCCAATGGATAGAGTTGGTGCTACCAGACAACCCTAACACAATAGGAGCAGAAAGAAACTAGATTTCATTGTCCAAAAGATTATTTGTTTCAGGACCGGCCGGCCATGGCTCCTGTCCAGTAAGAAGATATCGAAAATTGCATTGAATATCTCACCATGTTCTCACCATGGTGGCTTTCTCACATAATGCAGACAATGCTGAAACTGTCTCTGGCTTAATCCGAGGTACGTACACCACACTCTTCATTCCAAATGCTGTGGCCTGATGGATTTAGATATAGCATTTTACACTTGAGAAATCAAATCACCAAACACACATATAGTGAAATGATCATGTTAGTGAATACCTGTTTCACATTTTCATAAACTGTTGACGGGTCGGTAAAATCGATGACAACAGCTGTTTCTTTAGCCTGCCAGGGTTGGTATAGACCATTAAAATGCAAAATATATTAGGAACAAAAATCACTAAGGTTAGTGAGATAGCAAGATTTTGGAAAGAGAGAGTGAAAATGTTCTAACCTGAGAGATTGAGCCTAAGACCATAGTGAGGTCACTCATTACAGGTATCTCTAAAGGCTCTTCCATGTCACACAGCTATATTTTCAGACATTAGCATTACACAGAGTTTGTAAGAACAGGACATGAAGTGAGGGAGATTAGAGATAGAGAGAGAGTTGGAGACCTTGCCAATATCCAGACCAACAAAACGGGTGTCCACTGCACCGGCTAACTCCATTCCTCTTGCCTTAGTCACCGCGACCACGGCGGCTCTTCCTATCTCCTTTGCCGCTCCATTTACGATAACCTGTGTTTGTATTAGTTTTTCCGAATATGATTCAAAACCCCGCGATTTTCGATTATGATGATCTTAACACCTTTATGTTCTTCTGTGAAGGTTGAGCCGAGCAAGAGATGGAAGATCGAGCGGGTTTTAGGTTCCTCCATGGTTTGAAGAAGTGGCAGTTCAGAGCTGCCGCCATTGCTAAGCCCTCGGAGCTTTCTGCTATTGCTGCTATTTCCATTGGTGGCTTCATGATGAAGATAGAGTTACTGTTTTTGTTTCCATGCAGGAAACGGTGTCGTTTCGGGGCCTTTTTCTTTTTGTGGACGGATAAGGTTGTATAGGCAGAGGCATATACGCGACGGAAAAAAGATTTAACGGACTCTCTGCTTTTGTTGATTTTTTTTCATTCTCTCACACGGAAATATAGTTTTTTATATTTATATTTTCGATATTTTTTGGTAAATAATATTCAATTTGGCAAAATGCCTTCAAGTGGGGATATTACATATATACCTTTAAAATGTAACATGGACTTCAACGCATACCCTCAAAAAGTTAGGATTTCAAAAAAAATTAAAAAACGTTAAAAAGACAATCCTACCCTTTAAAAAAACTACACGTACACGTGTAATAATCTGAATGAAGATGACGAAAGAGAGAGAAAAAGTGGGGAGTTGCCAAATAAAAAATTATTAAGTTAAAAGAACTGTTCAGTTTCTTCTTCCTCTCTTCTTCACGATTTTTCTCCAACGGACATTCTCCAACCAATTTTATTGGCAATTTCTTATGCGATTTTTTCTCTTCACTTCAAAATGGCTTCGTTTTCATCGTTTTCGGCTTCTATTTGCGAAGATTTTCAGATAAAGTTTTCTTTATATCTCACCGAGAAAGTTAGTTTTTTTTTTTAATTTGATATATTGTACTTGGACAAATATTTACGGTAGACAAGATCTTAGTCGAATGAGTTATAGTATTCGAGTTTTACAGTTAAGGAAAATTAGGTTTTCGGTTTGAAATCAAGTCATATGAGAGTTTTGTCTCTATCAGTATCGTAATGGTCATACTCGTCACACTGGTCGTACTTGAAGGGTGTGACACGTTTGACTAGTCAGATTAAACTAGGTACACCCGTCAATGGTCATACCAATGAAGTCGTCACACCGTCACACTGGTCACACTGATTTATACCATAGTAGTCATACTCATCACACTAGTCGCATTTCAAGGGTGTGACGAGTTTGACTAGTTTTATCACACTGGGTATACCTGTCATATTAGTAAAGTAGTCACACCGTCAAACTAGTAAAACTAGTGACAAAATAATGTCATACTAGTTACACTGGTCGCATACGAAATGGTCATACTAGTCACACGGATTGCATTTGAAAGGTGTGACCAGTTTGACAAGTTTGGCTAATATGATAAAACTGGTCAAACTGGTCACACCGGTCAAACAAAGCTGATAATGAGTGTTAATTTTATTTTTGCAGGTTCCTTTTGTATATGACTTGAAAGACATTCATCAAGCTCCCAAGATTACAACGAAGTGTTATCCATATGAAACCATTCGGTTAACTGAAAAAATCAAAAGAAGAATAATTGAAAAAATTGAAAGGATTCTGAAGAAAACATGAATCACCGTTGAAGCAAAAAATTGGTCTGAGATAAAGCGCAACAAAGAGGATGATGTTTCAACTGGTAGTTACTATAACACGAACACCGAGTTCGAGTTGAGACCTCATTTTTCATAAGAGAATGTGGCTTTTTCAATGCATGAGGAGGTTCCTACTGCTCCTAAGGAGTCCGTTCAACAGAGTAAACGTCCGATGCACAAAAGAAAAAAGGATGTTAAAAGTCCATACATTACCTTTGGATTGACAGATCCACCTTCCAAAAAGCAACGAACAAAGAGAGAAACCAAAGGTCGAAAGGGAAGAAAGGGAACCCACGAGAAACGTCAAGAAGTAACGGCGCCTCCAGAGGAACGTCAAGATTCTTCTTCATGAACCCATGATCCTCTTTTTAATTAGTTGTATTTGACTCATGTGTACTCTCCTTTTAATCTCATATATAGTTTTTTCCCGCATGAATTACAGCTAACAAAAACTCGTTAAATATGTTATAATGACCTCTATACATCACACTGAACCATCAGAACTTAATTTAGACCAACGATTTGTTTTCACAAACCGTCACACCAGTCAAACTCGTCACACCATTAGTACATGTCAAACTCGTCGCACCTTATCGGTTTTCACAAATTTGGATACTGAAAACTATAAACTTATCAATTATCATCTCAGTCATCAAGTATCTTACGATAAATCTAAATCTAGCTCTCAGTTTTTAACACCTTTTTGTTTCTCACAATGCATGTTCTCCCAAAAGAAATCTCAAAGTTTTAGTACACTTTTTGTAACACACTAGGTTAGGGTAGATTATATTATTTTCCAATATGGCTTACGAATAAGTATTTATATTTATATATATATATACATATCAATATGTATAGTATGCATTAAGGGTGGGGTTCTGGTTTTAGTACGATATTAGTACCGTATATTATTCGGTTCAGTTGGGTTCTAGTTTTGTTACGGTTCGGTTTTGTTTTTTATTAAAAAAATCAGAGTTTCTTAAAAAAGTTTCGGTTTTTCAGAAATTTTATAAAGTTAAGTTTGGTTCGATTCCAAAAGATTTGGTGTTATAAAAAATGCGTTAATAGATGAAGAATGAACATAATTCAACAAAAAAAAAAGTCACACTTCGTCATATTTCTATCTTTATTGTGAAGACAAATTCAATCTCTAAAAAGGGTCTTAACAGAAGAACCACACCGTCACATCGTCACACTCGTCACACCGTCAAACTAGTCAAACCGTCGCACCTTATCGAATTTCGCAAATTTAACAATTGTAAATTGTAAACATATTGATTATCACCCCGATGAACAAGTATCTTGGATTGAAACTAATCCTAGGTCTCTAAATTTAACATCTTTTGTTTTCTTGACAATGTATGCTCTCTCATATGAAACCCTAAAGTTCTAGTAGAGTTTGTGTAACACGTTGTCTTAGGGTAGAAGATAATATTTTTTCAGATGAATTACGATTAATAAAAACATGTTAAATATATTATAATAACTCATATACACCACATTGAATATTCAAAACATTATTTAGATCGATATTTGTTTTTGCACAAACCGTCTCACCGTCAGACTCGTTGCACCGTCAAACCGTCAGCCTCGTCGCACCGTCAAACTAGTCAAACCGTCGCACCTTATCGAAATTCACAAATTTAACAAGTGCAAATTGTAAACATATTGATTATCACCTCAATGAACAAGTATC